CTTCTTTGAGGTTGCCAAGATAAAGATGGCGGGTACAACCAAGGAGGCCAAGGGCAAGTTCGGTGAGAGCTGCAGCGAAGACGTGAAGCACGTTCGTCTTATTGTGTGTCTCAAGTAACAACTGTTTTTGTCTTCTTGCTTCTTTTTTTCTGTACCATCTAGTTTACTCAACGGCAATGAGAATTTCACTTGCATCTCCAGATTATTTTGTCCAGTATTGTTTATTGTACTATGGAGTTATTAGTGTATAAATAAGGAAACAGGGCCTCAGCGTTTTACGGTCTTTTCTGCATCACATCTGTTACCAAAAGCATATTTTTACCAACTAATGTGTGCTAGTAAGATGCTTGAGTCCTGCCCCTTGTTTTACTTTTGAAGGACCTCACATGCTCTGAATTCTCTGCTCTTTTGAATATTTAAAGTCTGAAGAGGACTCTAGGTCGAGCATTCTAGAAACTCTGCTTCCTGCATTCTGTGTCGGCTTTTCCTGCTGAAAACAAACATAAAAGAAGATTGTTTTCCAAAAGGTTTTGTCCGAGCTACCAGCATAGCTAAGCCACCGCAGTGCACGTCAGCATATATGTAACTGTGTACGTCTAACATCCAGCCTCACCCCTCCCCATGCTGCATGTTCTGAGCTCTAACCTGTCTCTGTCTCTGATGCCCGCCTTTCTAACTGGCTGCAGCCACGCTTCCGCGGAAAGAGAGCGCACTCAAACAGGAAACGGAGAGTAAGTACGACCTTCGGCAACAGAGCTGTTCCACTGTCAATTACTGCCCGCTGCTTCTCACCACTCCGCCTCACACCGCCGCACTAAAAGGAAAACCTTTGCTCGGCGCCCTTCGCTAACCCCCGACACATACCACTTTATCAGCCCTGCCACACCATTACCTCTCCATGGACCTGGTTGGTTTGTGCTACATCTTCACAGTGCAGATGAATGCATCGTCACATCTTCTGATTCTATGAGAAAAGCTAACCTTTGATATCCATATTATTTTTAAATCATTTGACTGCTTAATTTATTGAGTAATAGTGTCATAATTGACTGTTTAAACGCCTGCCGGGGTTGACACTCTCTCCGACTGAACACCTGACGTGCGTGCTGTGCTGTGCTCTGTTAGGCCTCCACGGCAGCTCTGGGAAGCTGACGGGCTCGACCTCGAGCCTGAACAAGCTGACCGTGCAGGGCTCCAACAGCCGGCGGTCCCAGTCGTCCTCGCTGCTGGACATGGGCAACATGTCCGCCTCCGACCTGGACGTGGCCGACAGGACCAAGTTTGACAAGGTGACAGATATACACAGATTATTTCTGTTTAACCAAACTATTAATTTGAACTCACTACTCGCTGTGGCCTTGTTTTCACTGAAATATAAGAATCCTGCACGTCTATGGAGACACAATCATGGCTAGAAGTTGGGAGAGAATGCTGTCTTTTGTGCTTTATAACATAGTTATAACGCCATAAATCATTAACAAAGAAACAACATAAGTTGAACTTCTTCGATAATTTATTATACAAAAATTGTACAACAATGGAATCTACATATCCAACTTTTTCCAAGTGTCCACCAGTGTTTCCAATAAATAACAATGGAGGCTCCACCTGTTTATACATATTTAACTATTTACATTTTTACAACCTCTCGTCTGCTATGTGCCTACAGTTCAGTCAAAGTTTCACCAAATTTTCTTAATGTGACTGTTTTTTTTTCCAGAATCTGTTTGGGGCAAAGAGCTTCTTTGGGAGAACTTTAAAATGAGACATGTGGAAAAGTGTTTTTGATGCAATATCACAATTTTAAGCTTTTGATTTGGTTGCTTTTTCCTGATAGAAATGTTTGTAACACATGATGTGTTCAAGGACCGTCGGAAAAGTTAAGATTCCGACAATAACATCAGTTTTTACATGCTTCTTCCTATGATGTAATGTGTATTTTTGGCCATTTAAAAAAAGGAAGAAAATATAGCGGATTAGAAGGTAAAATGTGTAATGGAAATAAAACTATGTACACGTGCTGCTCTGTATTAAACGAGTTTCTCTTTTACAGATATTTGAGCAGGTCCTCAGTGAGCTGGAGCCTCTGTGTCTGGCTGAACAAGACTTCATCAGCAAGTTCTTCAAGCTGCAGCAGCACCTGGCAGTCATGCCCCCCCTCGCTCAGGTGAATCTACATCAGCGGCGTCAATCTGAATTTTGTCTTGCCCGAGATATATTTCAGAAATAACGGGTGCATTGTCATCAAGTTTCTTCGGATTTGTCATGTTTTGTGTTTCTTGTGTTGACAGCCTGAGACGGAGGAGACAGATGGAGGCACGCTGTCAAGAATACCTCCCCAGGCTGAACACAGACAGTCTTTGTCCTCAGAGTGAGTAGTTTCACATCGTCGGCTGACAGTTATGCTGCAAAAAAATAACCCGTCTATTACTTGCAAAAAAACATTATTTATATATCGTCCATGAAATAACCGCTTCTCTTTGTTTCACCTCTTTTTTTAATGTATTTTCGTGACTGAAGGAAAGACGTCGTGCGGCTGATGATGAATAAGATCTTTCAGAGCATCGAGACGGAGCTCAACAGTCTCATCGCTCTGGGCGACAAGATCGACAGCTTCAACTCTCTGTACATGCTGGTGAAGATGAGTCACCACGTGTGGACCGCCGAGAACGTCGACCCGGGCTCTTACCTCAGCACGACTCTGGGGAACGTTCTAGTCACTGTCAAGAGGAACTTTGACAAATGCATTGTGAGTAGAGTTCAAAACTTCTCGTCTTTTTGACAAATAGACAAAGTATAAAGGGAAAGTTTACCCCAAAATCAAAAACGTACGTTTCCTTTAGTGTTATTTATCAATCTAGATTGTTTCGGTGTGAGTTGCCGAGTGTTGGAGATGTCGACCGTCTCCATAGACATGTATATACGAAGTAGTCGTAGTCGGCGTGACGTCACTTATTGGTTTGTGGACTGACGTTATGAATCACTGTGTAGCCCCGCCCCTAAAGCATCCCCTGCTTTATGGTCTGTTTGACTCTAAATGGACCATAATTTACTAAATGAACATCATGCTGTATTGAAGAAGACTTGAAACTAGAGATTGAGACCATAAACTCATGTTTACAATGTTTACTGAGGTAATAAATCAAGAAAGAAGTAGAGTCATTTTCTCATAGACTTCTGTACAACCAGAGGAGTCGCCCCCTGGTGGACACTAGAGAGAATGCAGCTTTAACACATGAAGCATCGACTTCACTCTGCAGAACCGGAGGTTGCCGCCTGGTCTTCTCTCCAATATGATGGGACTAAAATGTGAAGCCGTAGATGCACACATCAGGAATCATGCATCTATTTTTTTGGCACTTTTTGCACCACAAGCCCATTATCATTGTAGAGAAGACAGACATCTCTACTGCCGATACCTCCAACACTCAAAACATTCTAGATTGATAAAAAGCTCTACAGGTAAGAGGAAGAATATGTATTCCCTTTTATGTTCTTACACATATCGTGCTATGAATTTAATACTACGTGTCTTTTTCTCATAGTCGGCTCAGATCAGACAGATGGAGGAAGTGAAGATCTCCAAGAAAAGCAAAGTCGGTATCCTCCTCTTTGTCACCGGGTTCGAGGAGTTTGCCGAGCTGGCTGAGACGATCTTCCGTAACGCTGAGCGCCGAGGGGACCTGGACAAAGCTTACGTCAAACTGATCAGGGCTGTCTTCGTGAATGGTGAGACCTCTATGTGGTCCGACCTGCTTTAATTGGCTGGAGACGATGCGATGCCCCCGCAAACAAACTCCTGAATATTGTTTTTTTTTTTTTTTTAGTGGAGAAGGTCGCCAATGAAAGCCAGAAGACGCCGCGGGACGTTGTGATGATGGAGAACTTCCACCACATCTTTTCCACGCTGTCGCGTCTGAAGATCTCGTGCCTGGAGGCAGAGCGGCGAGAGGCCAAGCACAAATACACGGACCATCTGCAGTCCTACGTGATCAACTCTCTGGGCCAGCCGCTAGAAAAACTCAATGTAAGTCGGGAGTTATCGCAAAGTTTCTTCGCGTTCCTGGTCATGAGTAGATACGCAGGACGTGAGCATTTACAGAGAGGTTGTATTCGATGCATCATAGCTGGTTAACCTGTTATCTCCCTCCTGCAGCATTTCTTCGAAGGCGTCGAGGCCCGCGTGGCTCAGGGCGTTCGCGAGGAGGAGGTGAGCTACCAGCTGGCCTTCAACAAACAAGAGCTGCGTAAAGTTATCAAAGAGTATCCTGGCAAGGAGGTGAAAAAGGGACTCGACAACCTTTACAAGAAGGTGGACAAACATCTGTGTGAGGAGGAAAGTCTGCTACAGGTGAGAAAATAAAAAAAATAAAAGTGTCATGAGGGGAAACTGCTGGTTGAGATTCCTCGTCGTCTCTGATTCATGCTGATTCTCTCCACCAGGTGGTGTGGCACTCCATGCAGGACGAGTTCATCCGTCAGTACAAGCACTTTGAGGACTTGATCGGCAGATGCTACCCTGGATCTGGAATCACCATGGAGTTCACCATCCAGGACATGTTGGAGTACTTCTCCAGCATTGCTCAGTCCCATTAGTCTGGCTGCTATATGCACTTTTCAAGAGTGATTCGCCTCACATTGGCTGATGATACACTAGCTACTCACTAACTATCATGTACTGTTTATTTGTTTGTTTTTTTCGGACGATGAACATTTCTTCTGTGTGTGTCAGTGTATTTTAATGAAAGGGATTTGTACACTTGACAGTGGTGCAGATGTTTCTGCATTGTGTGTGTGCTTGATTCAACAGATGCGCTCTAAATACTTAATCGTTTGTTGTATGTCTATTATTTCTTTATGCCATATGTACATAATAAATTTGCTGCTGCCAACCTATTCAATTCTGTGTCCAATATTTGTAGTTATCTCGTTGTTAAGCACATGACAGCTATTTATTTACACGTTTATGGCCTGACTCCGCCCTCCCGCCTTCTGATACGGACAACGCCGGCTCTCAAAACAAGCTGCCCCAGATGCTCTCCGCTGCATCTCACTTCCATGGTGACGAATAACAAAACGGAGATCAACGGCGCTCTTTTCAAACCTCTTTACCGCGGAAAACATGTCAACTCAAAAAGAGTTGTTGACTATCAAACTTTAACGGACAATAACGTGTAAAACGGTGTCCTTCCAAGCACGGTACGTTGAGGCTAACTCCTCGAGAGTTGACGTTAGCTAGCTAGCTAATGAGTCAACGGTAGCTTGTTTTAGCTTGAGCTAGCTCATTGGTTAGCTATACAATGCTAATGTTTGCTCATTAGCCTGTAAGATAAGCTACGTAACGTTAGCCAACGCTAGCTAAAAACATGGCTAACTGTAGGTTAGCAAGCTGTTAGTTAGCCACAGTACGTTGCACTTTACAGTAGGTTGTCATTACTGCTTGATTTCTATGTCGTATGCTTTTAAATATTTATCTCATTTTTATCCCCTCTGTAAAGTGTCAGAGTTTTTTTATTTTTTATTATTATTATTATTAATTTCCTGTTATTATATTTCATTGTATATATTGTGCATTTGATATTTAATATTTTTACTCTGTTATTTTATTTACCTGTACCATAATTGCGGGATTAATAAAATGAGTGAGTGTCTGTCTATCTGTCTATATCTCTGTCTGTCTTTCTGTTGGTCTGTCTATCTATTTGTCTGTCTGTCTGTCTTATTGTAAGTATCTTATCTGCCGTTGACTAATCTAATCTGCCTGTTTTGTTTGTGTCATGGTAGGTAACTTCAGTGCCACAGCCATGAACAACAATGCAGAGAGGAAATTCGTCAACCTGAGGAAGCGTCTGGATCAGCTGGGCTACAGAAACCCTCTGGGAATAGAGTCACTGCCGCTGGTGGAGAAACTATTCAGGTGAAGCCTTTAATCTGTCTGCACCTGCTCTCCTTCATAACTTAAAGGGACAGTAGTGATGTTCTATAGTGTGTTTGTATGAGAGTTCTTCTACACAGTCAGTGTTCTACTACAGTAGATGAGTTTATAGAAACAGACAGGAGAACCAGCACGGGAGCAAAGAGGTGAAAACATTCTAAATATAGCTTCCCTTAAACTGATAGACATTCTGTTAGGAGTCTAAAATACGTCCACAGCAGAACATTACTTTGCTCCCGTGCTGGTTCTCCTGTCTGTTTCTATAAACTCATCTACTGTAGTAGAACCCTGAATGTGGAGGAGAACCTCATAGTAACACACTACAGAACAATGCAAACTATCCCCTTTAATGTCAGCAAGTCAGTTACAGATGATGAGATGTTCCTCAGACATGTTCTCATCTGTGTTACAGTGACCTGGTCCACACAACCGAAAGCCTGCGAAATGCCAAACTGTCAGCAGGGAAATCTGAGAAAGAAACTCGAAACTTTGACGCTCTTCTGGAGCCGTATAGGGCGGAGAATGCCCGAGTGGTCCGGGAGAACAATGAGCTGCACCTCGAGCTTCTCAAGCTGAAGGAGGAGAAGGATCGTGTCAGCAGAGGTAAGCTGTGATGTCCATCCTCAGTGTAATCTCAATCATTTTCTTACATCCTTGACACACGCACACAACTGGTTTGACACAACCCTGTCTTGTTTTAGAGCTGAAGACCCACATCAGAAAACTGGACCACCAGACGTCTGACCTGAAGTTTTTAAATAACCAGTATGTGCACAAAGTCCGCTGCTTGGAGAAGGACAGCAAGGCGAAAGCTGAGCGCATCCAACAGCTGCAGGAGAAGAACATGCAAGCGGTGGTGCAGACGCCAGGTAAAGCCACGAGTCCGACCTCAGCTCTGTGACGACACACTGAAAGTGACTGGTAGATTTTAAAGAGCAACCAAGAATCAACAGTGAACTAAAGAATGGAATCCTCCTCCTCCTCCTCTCACAAACACTCACAGGTGGAAAGAAGCGCAGCATCCCTTTCAGACGACAGAGGATGCAGATTGATGAGCTCATACCTTCCTCCTCTACATCAGCGTATCCGGCGTCGCAGCCTGATGACCCGTATATAGCCGACCTGCTGCAGATGGCAGATGGAAGGTCTGTTTTCTTCTTTTGCGATGCCCGAGCTGTGTCATTGGTAACCGCTCGATTGATATGTGAGATGGTTGCCTTACTGCTTCAGCGACTGTTTCGACATAGTTTTTATTTCATTTGTAGGATTCATGAGCTACAGGAAGACATCATAAAAGTCAAGCTCGACCTGGAGAACGCTCAACAATATATAAAACACTTAAACACACAGGTAAGAAATACAGTAAAGCTAGAAGCGTTTAATACTGTGACGTGTTAAATGCTATTCAACCTGTTTCCTAAACACTTGTTTTAGGTGGAGGAGAGGGACAAAGAGATCGAGCGTATGAACCGAGCTCTTCACGGAGGACGACCTCACGATGTGATTTCTCTCGAGGCTCAGAACGTCAGCAACGAGAAGCTGATCGCCCATCTTAACCTTCAGGTAAGTGTTCACATAGAACCTTTACCCTGATGTAGAAATTAAGTTTTTTGGAACACAAGGTGCTTCAACAGAGCGGTGAACTCGGTCCTGAGCCCCATTCCTCTGGAAGAAAAAGCTGCTGCTTTGTGTTCTACAGATCGAGTACCTGCAGGAGACCAACAGGACTCTGGACCAGAAGCTGGAGGCGCTGCAGCAGAAGAAGAAGGACGCCTCCACCGAAGTGGCCAATCTGTCCATAAAGAACCTGGAGCTGTGTGAAGAGCTGACGCACATCGACGACCTCGCAAAGCGGCTGGAGATGGACAAGGAGCACGTGTTGGAAACGGCCGACATGGAGCTGCAAGAAACTAAAGTAAGAATACGAGAAAGAAGAACCAAAGACAACGTGTTACATGTTCAATCTGCCTGTAATATACTCACAAACATTACTTTACTATTACATATGCTATAAATAATACATAAAAGTGTGAATAAGTGAAAACAAACCTCAAACTTTTTTATCAACAGAAAGAAATTCAAAGGCAACAGAAAATCGTAGAAGACTTGGAGAACATCATCACAAAGTTAAGATCGGTACGTAGAGTAAAATACTCTAACTTTATATTTCCTTTACTGGAATACTTTTAAACTTTTGTACAACATTACTGACATTCTTCAGTGAACGTAAACGGTTGCCAAATATCTGCCCCGTGTTGTCGATTGAACCAAGGAGCATTCCGAAGGAGACTTTGAAAAAGACCGTCTCAGAGACCAGCTGGAGGATCTCAGAGAGCAGAACGAGAAGATGGAAGGACTCGTGAACTTCCTGGAGCAGGAGAAACTCAGGCTGCAGGACAAAATGGAGAAAACGATGGCAGCTGGTGAGAAGCTGCTGAAACCTTTTCTTACAGCAGCTTTACATCTTTGACGTTAGTGTAGGGATGTACCGGATGTTTTGTTTACAATCAAAGGAGACAACCTGCACCAGCGAAAGTTCTTAAGCGTTTGTTTTTTAGCTTGTTATTGTGGAAGGTGGTCCTCGGAAGTTCTGTCACAATCAGAATTGGGCCGTAACTTACAGAAGGTTATGGACTATAACACGCAATGTTTCTGTATGTTTCTCAATAACCTGCTTGGAACGTCGCTTATTCGCCCGCCCGCCCAAACTCGTGATATATTCTAGTAATCTTACCCGAAACCCACCCGGGCGGATCTTTATTTGTTTCTAGACAAAGACCTGGTTCTGGAGTTGGAGACCATGCGGGCTAAACATGGCGTTTGTGGAAGGGAACGCTCCCCGTCACGGCTGGACGCGTTCGTCAAGAGTCTAGAGGAGGAGAGGGATTACTATCGCCAGGAGGCGGACCGCTACAAAAGAGCCAGAGGGGCCGGTGGTCCGGATTCAAGCCCCAGTCGTAGTCCAGTCAGGGGCAGGAGTCCTCGGTCCAAAGCAACGAGGGTACGAGACGAAAGGAAGAAGAAAACATACTATTTTGTTCCTCATAAAACTGATGGAACAAGTATCTAACGGCGTCGTATTTTCAGGGCGGCGCTGCAGAGACGGAGCTGCTCCGTTTACTGAAGGAGAGAGATGAGCTGAAGGCCGCTCTGCTGGACTTTGAGAACCACATGGAGGACATCCAGAACAGTGTGAAGGGCCTCAGCTCCGAGAGAGACCGGTTCAAAGCCCTCTTTAAACAAGTGAGTTTTACAAATGTTATTCCACCAGGTGGGAGACTTCTTCTTTAAACACTTTTAAGTAACCAAGTGTTGTCGTCCATTCAGGCTCAAGAGGACTTGAAGCTGGCCCGTAGAACAGACGCGTCAGCAGATCTCCTGGAACTAAGGGAGGAGATCAAACGGGCAGAAGTCAGAATCCAGCAGACGACCGTAGAAAGAGACGCACTGATGGAGAGAGTGAAGGTTAGCGGGGCAGTCTAGCAGCAATCTAACAGCACCATCAATTACATTTATGCAACCACAACAACAGTTTTCTAAAATCAATGAATTGAAAACATCTGCAGATGAATTAACAATGAAAACAATCGTTAGATGCAGCGCTCCTTAACTCAGAGACCACATTGGTATATTGTAAACTAGTTGTATAACTTGAATGTGTTGAGCCTAACGCACACAATAACTTTCTGCAGGTTGCCCAGACTTCAGTTCTCACAGACAGACAGACGGAGGAGAGGAGGATCCTCGACCTGGAGAACGCCGTTAAGAGGGTAAGCCTGGTGGATATTTAGATGAATCTGTTCAGGCGTGTGCTCGTGAAGTCTGAAATGTCACCAGGACACAGTTATGATGCAATGGTCAGTACTGTAACTTTGATCCCTGGCACATTGTGTAATTTAATTGTATTTCTTTTTGGGTGAAGTTTGAGCACGAGAGGCTCGAGCTGCGGTCTCAGGTGTGTCTGCTGAAGGAGAACAGGGAGGCCGCTGAGGACGAGCTGAGGGTTCGGTCCGCCGCTCTGGTCCAGAATGCAGAGGAGGTTTCTCATCAGAGGGCCGAGACTAACGCTCTGAGGTTCGTCATAAACATTTTGGAAGAGGGACGGAGTGAGTGCACATCCAGGCAAATACTCTCCAATAATAATAAACCTAGAGCCTAACAGTGTGCAGAACTCAGACCGTAGACAATGGATAATACGACCATATATTGTATATCTGCAGTATCCACTTCCACTGAGCTTTTGGCCCCATCATTGCATATCCTGACCTGACAATGATCGGGGCTCGTTGTCTGTCTGTAGGCTGCTACAGGAGCAGATGGAGCAGTCACTGTCGGACACCCAACACAGGCTGTCTGTGAAGATCAACGAGCTGCACGCTGCCCATCAGCACATCCAGGAAGTGGAGGAGACGATAGGTGGATATTTGTGGATGTTATGAGGGTCAGGATGGACCGCCACACTTGGTTGGTCTACTTGTGTTTGTTTTGTTTGCTTGATTTGTGTTTTGTCTGACAGGGGAGCTGAGTCAGCGGGGCTCCAAGCACAAGGAGGACCTGTCTGCTCTGCAGAAGTCCATCTCTGCTCTGGACAGAGAGAAGGACGCTCTGCAGGACGAGGTGGATGTAAAGACCGAGAAACTGGTGGCTCTCCAGGAGGATCTGTCTAAAAAGGTAACCTCCACCTACACACCTCATTAAGATTACACACTTTGATTAAAGGAGAGCTTCACATTCTTTCCAGGTCTGTCTAAAAACAATACTCGCATGACCATATGTACAATGAAAAAGATCATTCATCTTGAGAAGGTCTCCTCCTAGTGACGAGGGAAGGAATGATTACGTAGACTAGTACCTTCTTCAATGCATATATGGACAAGTGAGTGTTTTATTAGGAAGAATGTAACCTATGCATTGAAAGCCATGATGAGTTGTGCCTAAAGAGCACTAATGATGCATAATATTTTGTATTTGCACAGGAACAGACCCTTGAAAATGTGAGACTCACAGTCACAAACTTGGACAACTCGCTAGCGTGAGTAACGTGCTTTCAAAGCTCCGCGTTGGTTTTTAACGTCACCATGAAATGTGTCCTGCTGTAAATAGTGAGCTGAAGTGTTAAAGGTGTGATCCTTGCAGTCAGCTGCAGGGGGCGCTAAACAGCCGTGAGAGGGAGATAGGCAGCCTGAGGAGGCAGCTGGACACCGGCCACGAGGAGCTGGCAGGACTCAGGAGAGACAAAGAAATCACCGTCAGAGAGAACAGGAGGCTGCAGGACGACCTGGCTACGATGACCAGAGAGAACCAAGTATGTCGTGAATGGTAATGTGGTTATATACCAAGAGAATAAAGAAGGGAACGACCAGGAATCAACACTCCTGTTGTGTTTGTGCAGGCTGTACACGTGGAGATGGAGGAGGCGCTGCACGAGAAGGACGAGCTGAAGTTGAGGGTCCACTCTTACATCTCTGAAGTGTCCAGAATAGAGAAACTGATGGCGACAAAGGCAAGAGGGACTCTGCCTTTGTCGCCTGTACAGCAGATACTGTTGTTCTATACACACCCTTTCTCCTGTCTTGATGGCTCACCGCTTGGTGTCGACCCCCCCACAGGAGCAGCACAACAGGGACCTGCTGGAGCGTTTCAGGATGGCCCACTCGGAGGTGGAGGAGCGGGAGCAGAAGTTGCAGCAGGTCGAAGGCCTCAATAGCTCCATCCGCCTGGAGCTGCTCTCCTCAGACACAGAACGCAGACACCTGCGCGATACCGTCGGCCACCAGGGGAGAGAAATCCAGCAGGTGAGACGTGGGAGGGTCTAGAACTGTAGAGAGAGATGCTGCTGGATAGTAAAGCCATTCAGAGGTGTTAAGTCTTTATACCAGCGTGTGATAAATGTACCTTTCACTCCGGCGTTTCCCTCAAAGCACACACAGGCCCTGCAGGCGTACGAGGCCCAGGTGTCGTCGCTGGTGCGCGGGATGTCCCGGCTGGAGGAGGAGCTACACAAAACACAGGAGGAGAAGGCAGCTCTCCTCTCTGACCTGGCGTCCGTCAGGGAGCTGTGCGTCAAGCTGGACTCTGGCAAGGAGCTCACTGTACGTCAGCTCACCTCCAGGAGCATGGACCTCGAGAGGGTGAGTCCTGCTTCTCTGGCTTAAAGTTACTGTAAGGAACCTTTAACTGGTCCTGAACCAGTCTCAGTTTAGTCCTGATCCTCTATCAGACCTCCATCAGTAAACCAGACCATCAGAGAGAAGATGGTCTGTTTCTATATAGTTATTCTTAAAGCTCGTCATCGGAGCCACCGGGTCGGATTCTGGTGAAATCAGATGATTTCTTATCATCTCTTACTTCTGCTTTCTGTAATAAAACCATGTGTTGTAGGTCACAGGAGAACTGGAGGATGTTCGGTCAGAGGCCGAGCTGCTGAAGAAGCAAATGGCCAGCGAGAGGCTGACTGTGCGTAACCTCGAGACTCTTCTCTCTTCCAATCGGCACAAGGAGTTCCAAACCCACCTGACAGCCAGCGAGAGAGAGTCCGAGCTGAAGGTCCTCCGTGATAGGCTGACGCTGGCCGATAGCAAAACGTAAACAAACCCCACATGTTGGCTCGAGCTGGAACACTTGAATAAATGCCCTGTTTGTTGATGATGATGTGTGTGTGTGTGTGTGAATGCACTCAGCACGGAGCATGCCAGAGAAGTGTCCCAGCTCCGCGGCAGAGTGTCTCAGCTGCAGACGGAGATGGACGTCCTGAAAAGACAGTTGACCAGCGAGCGCTTTGAACGGTGAGCTGACTCTTCAACTCGCACGCCAGCACAAAGACCCAAAGTCAATATGTCGGTGTGACCACTAAAGGGTATTTTATATTCCCTTTGTGATGTGACTCAACTCGTATACATTTGTTATGTATTTTATAGACCTGTAACTTCATTGGTAGCATAGTTGATGCAACTAACTAGATTCATTCCCAATATTAGCTAGTTCTTCACTTGAGGTGGGCTGCAAAAACAGCCGTTCTTCTTCCTGTTTGTTAAAGTCCAGTTTGGAGAAACTATTTTAGCAACCATAAAATAAATCAATCCGTTTAAGTGTACGCGATATTTACATTGACGGGGGAACTGAATTGTTATCTATGCTCTCGTCAAAGCCACCAGACTTCATTAACTGGATGTTTAGAAGTGTGACGTTCCCAACTATCCCTCCAATGTTTAACGTTTTGAAGTAGCATATCATCGGGATGAGAGAGACGCTACAGAAAATCTCCTGTTTACTGTGAACCACGTGTGTCCTCTTGGTGAAAATAAACCGGTCCTACTTTTAGAATATCTGTACATACAGAGCTGAAACTAAGGATTCATTTTACATAAATTAATAACTTTCTTGTCAAATCAGTCAGACGGACTGTCCCAACGATACTCCACTTCCTTACATATAATACACACAACAAACTGCAATTATTCACGACTTTTTAAAAAGAAAATGACTCAATGACTTTATTGATTATCATAAGTGTCTTACAGTCATTTACAAGTAGGTACTTGTATCTTTAATACACGTTGTAGTAACAAGGACGTAACACTGTCTGATCGTCTCTGCGTCCTCAGTGAACGAGCCGTGCAGGAGATGCGCAGACAGGGATTGTCCTTCTCGTCGCTGCAGAGCTCGATGTCCCTCGACGCCTCCGCCGGTTCCCATCACACCTCCCCAGAGCGCTCCATCCTCCGAACTCTGAACCGCTCCACCGACAGGTCGGCGGACAGGTCGGCAGACAGGTCGGCGGACAGGTCGGCGGACAAGTAAGGCTTCGGACATGAAAATGATTCTGCCGTGTTTTTTAGAGCTCGTTGTTTTTGGTTTAGATTTGCGATCCAGGGAATTAACGCTGGTGTTTCAACCTGGACCGTATTTTCTCATGTGTTTGTCACTCAATGCTGTTGTCCACATTAGTCACTTAGACACAGAAACGTGGGAAAATAGGGTCCAAGTTTAAAATGAATACAAATGTAATCCTTTAAACAGGAAGCACAGCTTTTGGATACAAAATAAATGTTGAGTCATAAGTATTTGTATAAATACTTCAGCCTGATTTCATCAAAAGCTCTTTGAAAATATTAAAAAGAATATGTTTTGCTTTCTCTTTCAGAAGTGTGAGCTTCAAGGATTAACGACTAGAGAGACAGACGAGTGGAGGATTTGATGCGTGAGTCAGAAACCACTAGCAGCTTTAAGTTTAAGTCTGGACATGAATTGTGAAAGTCTCCGTGAGTCTCCGTACCCGCCAGCGACCTTTGTGAAATCATGAATGTGCGAAACATTCAAACACATTTAGTATTTTTTCTGTCCAACTTGTCGTTGACTCAACTGGATGCAAAGTGTCCGCTCTTCAAAATTAGGATCCCGCTTTGAGAGTTCTTTCTGAAATGAATTTAGTCCTCAGCAACTATAACCTCATATTATACGTAGCAAGAAGAAAGAAGTTCAGCCCTGTGGTTACGTGTATTACACTTCATGTTTTTGTTTTTTAAATTATTAAATTATTCATAAAATAAAGCGATACAAAAATTACAGAAATGTGCTCAACTTGAGTTTTATTTCGAAGTAAATAGTCCAAAGTTTTAGGAGAGGCGGTGACATGAAACAAAGAAACACTGAATGCCCACAGAAGCTATTAACCCTTTGACTTCCTCAACGTGTAGATGAAGAAACAGGCAAAATACAACGTTTGTTCTCGCAACCTTATTTACATCATTGTTTATATACTGCATTGGTTCTTTTACTGTAACAGTGCACGACAGGAAAACGTTTTTTAATTCTTTGTATTCAGCTGATTTCAAGCTTTAGTGGTTTGTGGTCAATTTGTTTTGAGGAAACATCTCAAGTAAAAATGTGTAACGGCTATAAAAACCCTTTGTTCCCAAAGAATATTAAAAAATTGTCAAAATCTCACTATAAAATATTGCACATTTCTAATGCCGGCAGTGTTCAGTGGTCGTGTTGGGGAGAGGGTAGGCGAAGAGGGAGAAGTCTAGAATGTACTTGGGCAGCAGTTCCCTCAGCAGCTTCTGCGGTAAGCCGCACAGGTAATAGTGCAGCGTCTCCACCGTCACCGGCTTGTACCACGTTTGCCTCTCCGGGAAGCGAACGTGAGGCGGCGCCCCGACGTGCTGCAGCAGAAAATCCGAATCTCTCTCCAGGTGCTCGTAGGAGCCGATGAAGTCGTAGGACACAGCGCAGGGCTGGCACAGGTTGTACACCGGCATCCAGTGCTCGTTCATGCGCTCCGCGTCCTCGTCCAGCAGGTACTGGACGAACTCGGCGAACGTCACGTCGTCGCCCTTCACGGACGCGTCCTTGGCGCGACTTTTCCTGTACCGCTTCACGATCTCCACGCCGTACTTCTTCTGGTAGGACTCGATCTCCCCGAACTTGTTCCTGTAGGCGGAGAGCAGGCGCTCCATGGGCTCGCGTACGAACATGAACTTGAAGTAGTACTTGAGGCGGTAGCGGATCTCCTCGGGCTTCAGGGAGGACAGGAACAGCAGGTCGTTGCGGTGGTCCATCTTGATGTTGACGTCCACGCTCTCTAGGGCTCCGTTCAGCACCTTCAGCACCCGCTTCCAGTTGGAGCAGGCCACCTTGGGCACGTAGCAGTAGAGGAAGTGGTAGCGGTCGTTCACCAGGACGTGCTGCAGCAGCGTCTTCCTCTGCAGAGGGCTCAGGGACCAGACGCTGTGGGGCATGTTCTTCTGGCTGCACACGGTCCTGATGGTCCGGTTACGGATCTCCTGGAGGATCTGAGTGGGAACACAAGTCGGCGACTCTTAAAAAGTGCATTCCAGCTATTTTACACATCAGTTTACTGGTCCTGGTTTGTGTTCCTGAGCCTTGTGAAAACTGTTTAACAGCAAGTCTCAACACGCTGACCGTCACCGGGATGTCATCAAGGTTATCTAATCGTAGGCTTGACAATGTAACAGAAAGTATGCATGCAGACTGGAGGTGTGGAGTCAGATGTGAGACAGGAACACTAACAAGTTGCATGATGGGACTAAAATTCACGAGTCTTTAAAGTTTTTAAAGCCGTCTTTTAGTCCCAAACATCAAGGAAGTGCAATACTAAACACTAAATTTCTTCACCCACTAACATCACTAAATGGCTTGTCGAGCCTTTAATCCCACAGTTTGTGCAACAGATCTTGTAAATATTGTGAAACATACATAAAATGCACATGACAAAAACTCCAGCAGAACTTCACGGTGCTTCTTATTAAAGAAACATTTCTATCTAATCTGTGCAGCACAACAATTATTCTGTCTGTATATACTATATATACTTTAGTTATTGTGGATTTTTAAAGTTATTTAATATGCTTTACTGTTTTATTACTTAATTACTTATTTTGATCTTGCTTTTTTACTATGCATCTTGTTTGCACTATCTACTATGCTGCTGTAATCCTGTAAATGTCCCCACTGTGGGACTAATAAAGGATTATCTTATTTTATCTTATTATCATCTTATACCTGTGAGTCCACGTCCTCAGCCGCCGGTCCGAGCTTTCTGAAGTCCACCCTCTTGCCGTTGTTACCCCGAGGACTAAGAGGCGTCTCCATGCTGTTCAGCATTCCTTTCTCTATCATGAGCAGCAGGCCTCCGGACGCGACGATCACCAGGAACGTGAGCACCGACGGCAGCACCGCGGAGCTGCGGCTGATAGATCCCGAGCTGTTAATGGTCGTCCTGAAGTTTATCACCGAGCCTCCTCCGGTCCTCTTCACTCCGTAGTCCTGCCGGCGAGGAAGCATCATCGGTATCCGGCGTGTCTGTTTATTATTAGCTAACTAACGTCTCTACGTGAGAGCGAAAACTTCTAAACTGTTGGTTACCAACCACGTACCCTTAATAAACTTCAAAAGTACATCAAGTATGCTAGCGTAAATGTAGCCATTTCCGGATGAACTTTCAAAATAAAACCGTTTTTCCGATTTAAACAAATTCAAACATTTACATTAATATGTCTGGAGTACGTACGTTACGTGTGTCTACTTCCTATGAATATTTTATTTCATAGGATTATCTTGCACTTGAGGAATTTAATGCCAATTTCACTAGATTACGTTTTAAAAAGACATTCGGTTCACCTCTGATTTCGAACACTTTCAAAATAAAACTGTTTTTCCGATTTAAGGTGATTTAAACAAATTAAAATATTTTGATTAAATAAGTCTGGAGTACGTTACGTGTGTCTACTTCCTATGCCGATATCCTCTCATGATTATCTTAAATTTTAGGAAACTAATGCCAATTTAACTAGCTAGAATACATTTTAAAAAGACGTCCAGTTTTCAACACTTTCAAAATAAAATCCTCCCTGGTGCATTCGCTGCACTGGATAAAGCATAAACTATTTGGAGTGATATGTAGTACATTCAGTAAACGTTTTAATTATACTGGCTGCATATTTGCAGAATAAGTTTTTGTGATTGTTGTCCTCAACTCCTTTGGGATCCTGAAGTACCCCAATGCCCCCTGGGACATGTAGTTCAGCTAGTGTATTCTGTGAGTTCCTCAGTGTTTAGCCGTAATTAAGGAGACTCCGATTCCTTTAAGGCCACTCAATGTGTAGTCATTTCTATAGTTTTGAGTCTGTAAAGGTGTAACATTACAGTGAAGTAAGATCCTTTTTAAGCACAATCCCATTGTGTAATGTTCTTGTGAGATCCTTCAGAGCCACATCACCACCTGACTCCTCAGTGTGGAGGAGCAGCAGCAGCATCATGACTCATGTCTCACATCCACCTCTGCTTGGGTGTCCTGTCCGTGAGTTACATAATCACAAGTCAGTTTCTCCCCAAAAAGGCCAACACGAGGCCGACACCATCTCTCACAAACAGAGAACGTATTAAAGGTGAATGCAAACACTTTTGTTAACCACAAATACTAGTCCTAACTCTTAAAAGCTAAGTATCAATCATAGATCTAGGTTATAACACATTAACGGCATAGCTAGCGCTAGCTAAGTTGTATTCGGCCTCTTCCTTTAGTTTTTAAAGCCTATTACCCGTAAACCTTGGGGAAAAATGGCAGATTTTGATATTAATCCTTTGCACACTTCCTGGGAGTTGGTTTATCGACATTATGCTGTTAGAAAAAAAATGTGTTTAAAAAGGTCTCTTCAGAGTCTAAAGGGCTGTAATGCCTGTAATATGGAGGTAGTGGGTTAAATCGTACTTCATGCTTTGAGATTTAGAAGCTAAAACGAGCTTTCAGCTTCAGAGATTGTCCTCCATATACTGATATCAGTTTTGATATTTGGAACACATTGTGTCAGTCCTCTCGTACAGAGATCTTTAAATAAGGACTATATGTTTTGTTTTGGAAAACATTTTATTAAAGAACCTATCTTTCAGGCCTGCAACTAACGATTATATTTATTTTCAATTAATCTGCCCATTATCTTCTTGGTTAACTGATTTATTGTTGTGTCTATAAAAATGTCAGACAATAGGAGAAAAGGCCCATCACAATACTCGGGGGAACCTATTTTAAAATATAGTTTTGTGCGACCAAGAATCCAAAAGCCAAATATATTCAGTGTATATAAATTAGAGAAAAAAGACATCCCTCTCCCCAGCAATGTTTTCCAGCTCCCGGAGGACCCAGAGGGGTTTCCAGATGAGAGATATAATCCCTCCACTGGTTCTGGGTCTGTACCCCGAGGCCTCTTACCAGTTGGACGTGCCTGGAAAATCTTTAAAGTCGAGTTCATCTACATTCAGACCCTCACCGGCCATGAGCTTATAGCGACAGAAAGAATGAAATTGTGGATACAAGCAGCTGAAATCAACCTCACAAATGACCAGGATGGAGGTTATTTTTGATCATTTTTTGCTTGAAAAAGTTATGAAATAGTTACCAAATTATTTGTTGTGTCGATTGATTAATCGTCTAATTGTTGCAGCTTTAACAAGACGGGTTAAAAGATGGAGATTCTTCTCCATCTTCCTCGGCGGACATGTATTGTGCTCTTTGGGGTGTTCTAGTCTAGACGGGTCTGATTGTGTGAATCAGAGCAGTGGTTCTCAACCAGGGGTGCAGGGACCCCCCAGGGGTCCTTGAGCGAGTTCCAGGGGGTTCTGGGGAATAGTTTATTTTCACTGCTTATTCACTATTTAAGTGAGCCCAATCACTATGTACCTATATGATACTGTTGTTCAGCAGTGGGTACTACCTATCCCTGGAGTGGTATGCGGCACCTGCCTTCAGGAAACGGTGTGCCGTTGGAAAAGTACTGGCATGCCATTCTAGGATAGGTACCTACCGCTGAACAACAGTAGCATGATAAGCGTAACGTTCCCTCGGCTCCTCGGTTGATCTGCACATGCTGTGCTCCAAAGTCACATGCAGGAGCAGTCGGTCACGTCTTGTCACTCAAACTTTTAAGCAATGAACAGTTTGAATAATAAAAGATATTTTATCGTCATTACAGACACATTAACCTACAATAGACAGTACAATGTAGATGGATTGTGATTCACTGAACTTGTATAGAGAAGCGTATTTCCACCACTTCACAGAAAATACTGTATTATGCTGATAAATGACAGTTGTCTGCTGTTTGGTTAATTGACTGTTAATTTACATGCGAGGGATGAACATTAAACTGTATGGTACAGTTATTATGAAATACTGTAAGATGCCGTTTTAAATCCACCGTAAATTTACAGCAATTCATTACAGTGATGCTGTACAGATTGTAAAGCCCGCTGAGACAAATTTGTGATTTGTGATTATTGGGCTATACAAATATATTAAATTGAATCTAACAACCAAAATCTTTTCAGATGGAGGTCTCTTATAAATCCTATCATATAGGGCTCTGGGAACTAATGTGTCTAAATGTAAGGGGTCCTTGACACCAAAAAGGTTGAGAATCACTGAATTGGAGAGCATCAATTTGGAGGGTTAATATAAAACAGTGTGGATCATATTTATAAAATAAAACAGGGCGATTAAGTCACTTCTACATCCCAGTAGAATTAACACCTTCAGGGATACAAGGTGTGTTTGTCTTTCTTCCTCGGGGCGGTTTACGGTTGTCTTTCCATTCTTCTTCTTCTTTAATTGCTTCCTAAAAGCAACGAGCTGACGTTACAGTAACGCGCTCGCGTCGTGACGGCCGTGGAGAGCGCGTGTGTGTTTGTCGCTGCACACTGAACCTCCGCCGCTCGCAGCCACACCCTCCTCCCGTCTCCATCCTCCTCCAACCCTCCACCCCCCAGCCTCGCACGCGTGCAGCTGTGCGGGGACAGGCGGTGCGTGCGTGCTTCCTCCCCTGTCGGGCACCCGCACCACCACCATAGGCAGCAGCATCAGCAACACAAAAGGGTCGGAGCTGCCGGAGCTGATCGGGAGGAGGAACCGCGTTTCAACAGCAAGGAGGTGGATTGTTTGTTTCTGCTCTTCTCCTCCTTATTGTTCGTCTGTTTCTTTTTTATGCTGATTGTTTTACATTTCCAAGACGACGGTGACCTTGTCACAGTATATCATTTCTCATTGACCCGCTCACATCTCCTGCTCCATCCCTCGCAGATGTGCATGTGTGTGTGTGTTTGTGTGTGTGTGTGTGTGTGTGTGTGTGTGTGTGTGTGCGTGTGTGTGCGCGCGCGCGCTGTAAATGGGCTGGGACATGCGATTTGATCCGACTTGAAATGCGCAAACGCAGATGTCAACAGGCCAAATTGTAATTAATCGGGGTTTTAAAATATATATATATATATATTTATATATAAAATAACGGCAATGAATTTAACGCTATTTGGATTTCATCTCTGTCAACACGTGAGAAAAGCAAAGGCCACATTCTTTGTTCTCCGTGCGCCTTTTTTTACTCTGCAATTAATAGGCTGTAATCCCTGTGCGGCAGCTTCCGTTCATCTGCCGTTAACGGCGACGTATCGATCCGCGCCTCTCGGTCCATGTCGATGTGGTCTCTCACCGTCTCCTAAACGACAGGCTGCACAATATCAGCCCCCTTTCACAGGGTATGCGAGTCAGCTGGAGAACCGTGCACGGGCCATATGCTGCAGGCCTGCATGTGCAATAATGGATTTATTTATCTGTGTGTCGTTTAAAAGCTGTTTTTAAAGAAAATCAATGCTGCATTACTGTCACCGTCAGTGGACTCATGGTGCATAAAGACATTCAGAGGCAGCACAGATGGCAGTTTGACAGAAATGAATTCACAGGCTGCTGGTTGTTGGATTAATGCTGCTGCTTTAATGTGAAACTGGTCTGTTTTTCTTCAGCACCTGATCGGATATAAATCTATAAGCTGTTTATGGTGGACTGATAGTTGTGATGACATGTCCGGTCTGTGTGTTCAGCAGAAGGAACATGGATCAGCTCTCGTAGTAAAGACGTCACCGCCACTGATTCAAGAGCAGCGTTCGATGAAGTGCTGCAATGTTATCAGGGTTTAGATTCTCACACACACCAAATGGTGACTGACAAACACTTCTGACTGCCTTTGCGTCCATTTTATTTGAGTCATTTAACGCCCTTTGACCTCAGATAAAAACTGCAAACGTGGATTTGATTTTTGTATCACCTCGAGGCAGACAAAAGATCAGCCTGACTCTCTGTTGTTCCTGCGCTTTTTAAAATGTCGATTGATTTCCAGTCATTTGACAAACAGCAGAGGAACCTCCCAGCTTCGAAATGAACTTGGGTGCGTTTCACTAAAATGTTGTTTTGTCGTTATAATTCATATAATCATCTGCATGTTTTGCGTGTAAAACTGTGTTTTATCAAAGAAACTAGCAACTACAGCTATTAAATGAATAGTGAAGTAAATGATCAGATCTAAGATGTCAAACGGTGTATATTATATATCACCCATTAT